TTTTTTTTTTTTTTTTTTTTTTTTTTTTTTTTTTTTTTGGAATGAGTGGCGGTGTGTGATGGGACGGCCAAAAAAGGAACAGAAAAGTCACCTTAATAGGGGAAGAGATCTGGACCGTCCGTTGGAACAAGCATCCGACGAAAACGGCCAGCTGATTTGCGTCGTGGAATCTGAGGATGCCAGTCTGTTATCATTAGCACACACCTCTAGGACTTAACACCCATCCTCAAATATCCTTCTGCTTTGCAAATAGTACCAATTTAGCTCTGTAAACGTCGCCGTTCGTATTCCGGTGACCGGAAACTGTTGACCTCATTGGAGAGATATCTTTAGGTACGAAATTACCTTTCAAATCGATGGTTTGAACCAAATTAGGCACTTCTTCAACAGACCTATCCAGCCGCCGTTGCAGAAAGAAACCTCCCTACCTTTTGATTCTGCGTTGGATAAATTAGGAGAAGCCAGCTCGACAGAAAGACGACGACCAGCAACAGAAAGCCATCAAATTCGGCGATGTCTTCAGTGACCTGGCTTCGAACCCCGTCGTACCTCGAGATTCGTATGATGACGGTGCGAACCCCGACGCACCGGAAGCCTCCGCCTGTATAATTTCCGGTAAGGTCGTGTCTGATGGCGTCGTGTCTGCCAGGTCAACGCTTTCCGGTTGCTGGAGTAAAAATCAGGAACACAAACGGCAAGGTAACGATATTTTTAACGGAGTGATTAAATTGTTACGATTTCTAAAGTTATTTTTTTTGAAAGTCTACACCGTAAGATGACGGTTATCAATATATAAAATAATGAATTTAGGTTTCTTTTTTTTTTTTTTTTTTTTACTTAAAAAAATTTACGTGTTTGAAATTTAATATTGAAATTTCGTAGTCCTCTTTTTTAAAAAATATTTTTTATTTTCCTTTTAATTTTTATCAGCTAAAATATTCTTTCCAAGAAACTAAAAATGAAAAAGCTTTTATCTCATGTTTCCATTAAAAAAGCTCGTTTTTTTTCATAAAATATGTTGAATATTATTATATTCGTTAAACTTTTAAAAAATTCAATAATAACATTTAAAAAATCTAAAAAAAAAATATCTTTTTAAACTTTTAAAACAATTTAACATAACTCTTACTTTATTTAGTATTTCATTAAACTTTTAAACTTCAAAAAAAAAATTAAAAATATTATTTAGTTTCCAAAAATTACTTTAATACTCTTACTGTTAAACTATTTTTTACCCTTAAAATTAAAAACATTATTAATGGTAAATAGTATTAAAAATTTAATGATATTTTTAAACAAAATATTCACCATTTTCATAAATAAAAAGAATAAAAAAAAAATGATTGTAAGTCTATTGTTGAAGGTTAAGAAAATTATTTTAGTTTGTGAAAGTTGAGAGAGATTTTTTTACGACACCAACATAAAATCTATGCTTCTAATCTCAACACAAAGTTAAAGACGATGCGTGAAAAGGATATCATCCAAAGATAGAGCATTTGATCGAGAAGTGAGTACTAAAAACTGTTTGTAATTTTGGAGATTTTGGTACAAAAAACCCAGTTGAATTTTCAAATTCCATGGGGGAATCATTTCCATTTTGAACTAAACTATTTTGGGCTAACAAACACCACATTTGTGTTTCAGAAGAGATGAAAGATGAGGATGTTCTTTCTTACCACATTTTTCTAGCAATTGGGTCTTCAATGGCGGATTCAGAGACGTTCTCCATTTGTGTATCAGAAGAGATGAAAGATGAGGATGTTCTTTCTTACCACATTTTTCTAGCAATTGGTCTTCAAGCGCGGATTCATAGACCTTCTCCATATAAATTCCTTCAATTTGATCATGAAACAGCATGCGGTCGTCAGCACCACCGCCAGAAACCGGCCTCCGAACAGCCCAGCAAGAACAACCAGAACCAGAATTAGGTAACTTAATCTTCCGTTCTTTTTGATTCCCTGAATTTCACACGACTCTCTAACTTCCATTGCCTGCCATTGCTCATCGAAATCAGGAGGTTTTCTGGTATCTTGATCCTCTTCGCAAAAAATGGTTCGGATTTCTAGATCGCGTTCTTGTTCTTCTTCTAGGTTTTCATCGTCTTCTTTATTTACCTGTTCTTCAATCGACGCCTTGTCCAATCTGTCATTTCTGAACTCCTTCTCCTCTGTGTTGTTCTTCTTCTCGATCGCTTGCTTACCTGATTTCTTTCGTACGAGTTTCCTAAACATACTCCGGTTGCGTTTTCCTCGCGTTCCACGTTCATTTTCGCACACTTGAACTTCCAATCGATCTTTGTTTTCCTTCTCATCTCCAAGAAAACCGAGACGGCTCTTTTCATCTTCAATTCCCTTATGCGTTTCACAGGCATCGACCTCCGGTTCCACGAGTCGGATTTCTTCAATTGAGGAACTGAACTCCGGTGAGTCAATCGATTCGTTCGGAAAAGCATCGAGCGAAACTTTCGGAACGGGATCTCCTCCGTAATTTCTCGACTCTTGAATCACTAGATCATCCTTTCGAATCCAGAGATGATTCAATACCTTTCGAATCAAGGATCTCAGAGCAGCCTCGCCATGAGTGCACGGTTTCAAGAAGCGAACCGAACGCTTACCGACAAATTCCAGAAGCAAAAGTAGAAAAGCAGATAGAGTAGTTCCAACCACAAGCTTCTTGGCAGTCAGTGCCAAAACCGCAACCGCAACCGCAACCACAAACATTTTCAACACAAACAAAACGACGCCGTTCCTGCCCACCGCATCGCCACCGACAACGCACATCTCAGTCCGATTCCGGACCAATTCACATCCACGATCGCGACATTCTCGCGGTTCATCCAAGACTTTCAAATTCTCCATTTCTAGGTTATCGCGCTGGACGCAACCGCCTCCAGCGTCAGAACAATCGATTTCCGTAGGATGCGATTGAGAAGACGGTTGAACGATTGAGTCGCTAAATTCATTCTTCGATCTCTTATCCTTCGACTTCCTTCTCGCCGACGGCTTCCTCAATCGATCACGATGCTTGACGAATAGATCAACAAGAGAGGTCGGAAATCCAGTCTCGACAACAAGCGAACCGCCACGCTTCGGCGACTGAAGATCAGCAACGATTTGGGAGATCCGAGAACTCCTCGTGGATTTCCATGGAAGAAGTGGCATGATTCAACAACAAAAACCTGAAAATTGCAATTCCGTCTAGGGGAATTGCAGTTGAACGATGAATCGGCGAGAAATCGATAAAGAAATTCCAAAACAGTAGAGCAAGAAACGGCAAGAAGAACAGCGACTGCAAAGAATTCAGAATTGTCTTTACCGAATTACTGACAATAAGGAAAATTTGGACTTTTCTTTCAAATGGAGAATCATCGGTATCCATATCTAATATTTTGGCACCACGGTGTCCATTATATTTATTTCTTTTATTAAAAAAATATTTTAATTTCCATGTTTAAAAAATTTATTTAGCATAACCGACTTAAGATCCAACAAAATATGGAAAATTATTTATTTTATTGAATTTAAAAAGAAAATTTCCCAAATTTAATATATAATATAATGCTCTTTTTATTTTTTTTAATATATACATGTTTATCCTAAACTTTAATAATTAATAATTAATAATTCATTTTAAATTATAATAAAAATAAAATTCACTTTATACTCAATAAATTATGATTTTCGAACAATCTAGAAGAATGAAAAGGCTACCTAGATTTTAAAAGGCTACAAAAATATAATTAATTAAAGTAAAAATACTTTTAAAAAATAGAGAAGTAGGTATCAATTATTTTAAATTTTTATTATTTTTACAACTTAGACCTTTCATTATTTTTTAAAAAATTGTATGTAAAATATTGAAAATTCAATATGATCTTCCTTATGAGTATTGAAATAAATACGTAGAATAACTATATCTTATAGGGTTTCTATTATTGCTGGCAAAATATATAAAATTATATGGTGTATTATTATTATTATTATTATAATATAAGGTAAACGAAGGATTTGAATTTTTTAATTTGAATATTTGAATCTCACTCTACTATATCCTAAAATATTTAAATTAAAAAAATATTCGAGTCCATGGATAATAAAATAATATATATATATATATATATATATATATATTATAAAAAGCGCGAGAAAAAAAAATTTAATTAGACATAAAATTGTAGTTTATATTATTTCGACTTATCCTAAAATATCGTAAATAATTATTTTATTTACCGTTTAGTATTAATTTTTGTGCGAAAATTTAAACATTATTAGTATAATATTGAATAGAATGTGATTGATGTAAAATAATATCATATTTGAATATTAATCTAAATGGTCCGTAGTATATAGATAAAGTTGAGTGTCTTATCTTAGTAATACTATTGATACAATATACTTTATAATTTTTATAAATCATTTGATCTAAATTATTCCGGTGGAATTTGTATAAAATTAAACTATGAAATATTTAATTTCTCTTTATAAATTGGTTAACTAACAAAAATTAATAGAGTTGTGATTCAATATGTCTATCATTTTTTGAGAGGGTGACTTGAACAATGGGACCACCTTCTCATCGACCCAATATAAATTAATTTAGGATGGTTGATATGGATGGTTCATAAACAAATTGGTGTATCAATGCTTTATTTTAATTTTGAATAAAATTAGCAGATTAATTATGTTTTTAAGCTAATAAGATTGAAAGTTAAATCACTTAATTGACGATTAAATTTTCTTTATTAATTTGGTTTAATCTTCCTAGCGAAACCTCCCTTCTAAACCCTATTTCATCTTCAGCCAAACCCCTTCTGTCCAATTACCAGCCACTGCAACCCCTACCCCGCTGCCGCTGCTCGCTGCAGTCTCAGCGTCCCGATGAACTCGCTGCCGCTCCCTCCTTCTTACATTCTATTGCCTCTCCGAGTGATCAGAGTTACTTATCGTTGTTGTTATTTTCTAATCCTCAGAAATATAAATAGTGGTTCAGCCCCTAAACCACGCCGTTGGTGAGATTGCGCCGACACTCAACTGCATCGGCGCTCATTTTTCAGATACCGAAGGTTATTTATTTATTTATTTATTTATTTTGTTTTGTTGATTTACAGAGAAGAACGTGATTTTTTTATTTTATTTTTTTGATTTCTTATTCATTCATTGTTCAACCAGTCCAGATGAATATAGAAAAAACTATCAATGGACATGCTCATGAACTGACGTAGGGAGGCGAAAATTTAAATGTATACAAAGAAAACTCTTGTGGGATGAAATTGGAAAAATACTTTTTCTTTTGAAGTTTAAAATCCTAGCGAAATGTTCGGATTTTTTTTTGAAAAGAACAAGATTTCAAATTGCATCTCATTTCACTTCTCTTCTTCTTTTTGTTTATGCTTTTTTTTTTTTTTTTTTTTTTTTTTTTTTTTTTTTTTTTTTTTTTTTT